CCGACTAATTACAGTAGTAATATCACAAATTAAATTATTTAGCAACTTAAATAATTACTCATAACATCTTAGAAAGATCTTAATAATACTGAATAATATATCAAAATCTGTAAATATTTAAAAATCTGTAAATACTTAATAAATATTATCTCAGCTGGGGATCAAAGCCAGCGTTTATATTCCTTATTAGTTGTATAAAATTATTTTATTAAATGTAAATAAAATATAAAAAGTCCTTCAATTGCTTTCATTGCAAATTGTCGATGATTGAACGATCAACTATTGATAGTGGGCAAAAATTTTCTAGTCCAATATTTATTACTGACTTATGCAACGTGAGATTAAACATTTAATAGCACGTTGCAAATAACGCGGATAATTGCGTGTTTCTCGCTTTCATATCTTGCAATAGGGACTTATCGCGTTACACGGCACATAAATGAAAATACGAGTTACGCTTTCATAGGAAATATGAGACCGCGACTCCGGTAACAAAGGCTCGACAGAACGTACCGACTTCTTCGCGAATAGAACTCGCGGAATTCTACTATGCCAGATTCTGGACCTCCTACCGCGATAGACGCCGATAATTACACCCTGATCGATGAGGTCGCCCCGGGCCATCGACTCGTGGCTCCGGAGACTCGTGGCTCTCGTTATATCCAGCCATTCTCCGAGATAATAAATGACGGCCTCGGTAGCCAATCAGCGTAAGTCACGGAGGATTTCTTTTTTCCAATAACGAAATTTATGCCCGCCCGAACGCGCACAACCCCCAGGAGGGTTGTAAACTGCGCCTCGCGAGTGAACTTGTCGCTTGAAAAGAGCATTAGTTTAACGGCCCGTCGTTTTAGATCTTTGAATTTGCCATTGGCAAATGATGTGTGAAAGTCTATTATTCTTACATGAAAAATAATTACTGCAATGTTTCGCAATAATCGTACATATTCGTCACAATTCATGTATTCGTATTTAGTTTAAAAGATTATAGTACTTTTCAAAGGAGCTTATTTTCAAACTCTGAAAAATGAAACGTATTTCCTTTGTATGCTGAAAGAAAAATAAGAATAACAAGAAGAAGAATTTATCTCGTGATACATAAAATTGCAATCTCTAAAAGTGTGCAATAACTTCGCATCTTGGATAATAAATATAAAGAAAGGTACTTTAATAACATCAAATATGAAAAAGCATGGAACTTGCGTTAACCTTGACCGATTCGTTGAATCTCGCGAATATTCGTGTTTATTTTAAATGTACCATTGATTGAAATATTGGTTTGTGTTTCTTGGAAACAAAACTCAATACGTTGTATTATTAAAGTGAAGAGAAACGGAATACTGCGCCTTTTCTATTATTCATGATGAATAGCAAACAGCATTTTATCTTCGTTGATTTATTTATACAGTTTCGATTGTTCTGTGGCAAACTAGTATTGCTTTTCAAAATTTAACATTTTTTCACTATATGTGTAAAATTCACTACTTTTATTAAATTTTAAGAGTAAAAAAAAGTATTATATACACTATAGTTCAAAACTTTCAACACATCTTATGTTTTTGCTAACGATTCAATTTTTTATTTATGAAATATAAAAATTATTATATTCTCGTCTCAAATAGACAAATAACATATATATCGATAGAAAGAAATATTAATTCAAATTTTGTGCTATCGATAAATTTGGATATCATAATTAACAATAAGAGAATGAAAACAATATATATATATTTTATCTCAGAAAAGCATCAAATTAAATCTTTGATTAAGTTCTTGAAAAATTTATCATTAGAAAGCTAAGAATTCTACTATAAAAATCCAAAGAAATGAAGAGAACTTGCAAAAATAAAAAATCAGAGAAAAAAATGAATTCTTTTTATAATTATAGTGAAAATATGTAATAATAAATTTAAAAGAATAATGCATGCAAACTGTACTCATTTTCTTTCATTTATTTTCTTTTCTCTCATGTATTCTTTTATATGATGAAATTTTCATAAATGGAGAGTGTTTTAAAACTTTCGAGCGAAGTGGATATACATTTATAGTCGTATATACATAGATCAAATCTCTTAACTTGTTATCATTTGATATTCTATGCACGTAATCCAAATTGTTAATTCTAAATTGTTGATAGCAAATTGGTTACGTACGTGCCGTCGCTTATCAAATATAATTGTAACAGATGCTTGATTTGCACGCAAATCAAGCGTCCCATAAAATTGCGTGTGCATGCTTGTCGAGATCTCATCTGTGTAATAACACAACGCGTGTAAATTTGCCCTACGGGTAAATTTTAAATTAAAGAGAGAATTTTTTTCGTTATTAAAGAAACTTAAAAAATGAAACTTGTTAATTTATGAGACCCATGGGTGTTTTTGGTTGCTAGAAAAAATTACGTAGCAAAGTTTATTATAATTTATTATGTTATATAATTTATGTTGTATAATTTTATGTTTATTGTACTTAACTAATTTATTTCATAATGTTATTTATTCATTTTTGTTATTTATTCATTAATCATTACATTTATAAGAAAAATGTATTTTACATGTTACACGACATAACAAATAATATGATATAAAAAATATAAAAAATTTATGTAACGAATAAATCTTTTCTACATTGTCTCATCAGTTGTCTTACTACTTGCACTACTTTTGCAGCATTGTCTAGCACAATTTATGAAGTTACATTAAAAGTACATGAATATGTAAAAGTCTGGAGAAAAACATTGCTAACGCGTTACGCCATGTCAGCGACATTTTTATGTGGATAAAAAGAATTTCCGTGTGTAATAGAAAAGTTTGACCAATGGGATAGAAGCATTTAAAAAAAAAATAATGCAAACTCTAACTTGCGAAGAAAATTATGCTTGCGGCTTTTGTGCTCATACTTCATCACTTCCAATGACTTCCGTTTCCGAATGTCGTTTCTCTACCGTTTCTGGACTTATGTCGGAAGAATAGATAAAAAGAGACATTTCAGTATAATATACTCGATAACGTAAAGAAGAAAAGAAGCAATGTTGAAAGACAAAAATAGTAAGTAACCAGTAAGAGCAATAAACACAATAAAATATAAATCTGAAAAATTTTAATAAATCATCTTATTATTTGCATTAAATTTATTTATTTAAAGAATTTTTTCTCATTATAAAAATGAGAGAATAATATAATATTGATTATGATATAACATGCCGACGAAGAATTATTTTATTCTAACAGAAAACTCACTAACTACTATCATCCCGATAATAAATGTGCAGAGTAAAATAAATGAAGTGGACAAATGAAGTGGAAACAAAATGAAATGTTTTCATGGTTTTCATGATTTTACAGGGCTGATTTAGCGCGTCTCTCCGTTCTATATTTGTAATTATGTCAGAGAGCGTCTGCGGTATCCCGAAATATCGGTCTTTCGTGTCTTCAGCTTCATCATAATTTTTCCCATGGGTCGCAATGTCGCAATCCTGAGAACTCTAAAACGTATTCATTAAGTAACGCAACGTTACAGCGTTCTGTTTTATTTTAGCAAGAGTTATAGCAGATAAAGCAAGAATCTCCGATGTCATCACGCTTGGAATGTCACGTTTCTTTCACTCGCGAGAAAGTGGACCTGCTGAACGTTCGTTGATCCTCTCGACCGTAAACGTCGTCTGTTTCCTCTTCAGATCGAAACATCTCTTTGTAAATAACCGTACACGAAATCTCGAGGTTACTCGCGCGCAACGCAAAATCGTTACGCTTGCGAAGGGAAGTCGCGCGTTTATTTTCACGACGTTCCGTGGTGCGCAATACAACGCGAATTTTACGGTACGGATATTTGGTTCGTCGAACCCGACAAGGTACCTCTATAACTCTACTTTTCATAAAACCTTACAGTCTCCTTAAAAAGATGATTAAAAATAGCTGTAGAGATTAAGAATTAAAGATTTAAAATGCAATGCTTTTTCAGAAATTAAATAACAGTGTAAAATTAAAATGTGCTACGCGATGAAAAATACGGATTTTAAGACAAAAAATTAAATAATACTAATGTACAAATATTTTCAAAATAATTTTTAATTAAATAACCTTTATACTTTAATATATATATTTAAAATATACATATTAAAATTATAAATAATAAATAGAATATAGATATAAATTAAAATGTTAAGAATATTTTTCTGAATATTTAAGAAAAATTGCAAAATTATATCAGAAGAGAAAAATTCATGTCGGCTTCTTAATTTAACATGTTTTAATCATATCGCAGTGAAAGAAATAAATGTGTGAGGCGATACGTATTACTTTATAATCGCGCCGAAGCGGACAGAGTTAACAAATTTTACACGATCATACATGCTTTCTCCTCCATTCATACGCAAGATCTTATTCGTAAAATGTGCGAGGCGAGTCCGGATCGCGAAAGTTTCGAGTTGTATAAAAAAAATTGATGACTTCGAGGTGAATGGCGCTATATAGTGACTGCATATTTATGGGATACTTTTACGTTTATGACAGCGCGATACAACAAACGAGTTTCTTTTGAAACATTATTATGCATATCTACTTAACTTCATTTATATATAATACATATGTATACAAAAAATATAACGCAAATTTAATAATTGTTTGTAAATAAACTTCAAATTGAAGATAAACAACTGTTGTAAATAAACAATTTTTGACCAAGTAATTTAAATAAATTTCTACGCCAATCTATTTTTGTTAATACAATACAATTTTTGAATTATCTATTTTTGTTTATTTACTTTAAAAATTCTTCTAGAATAAACATTTTATTTATATTTTATTATATTTTTTAATTTACTAGAAAGAATTGTAATAATCTTAGTAATCTTAGTAAAACAATTAATAAGCAAAATTGTATTTATTCGCTTTTGGTTAAAATTAATTGATGTTCCAATTGACATCAACTAAAAGTAATACATATAATATTACTTCATACTCAATGCTGTAATTGTTATGTAAGACCATATATTACACTTATATTGCTAAGTGCAAAATTATAATATTGATATTATATTACTTTTGGTGTCGATTGCAGGAATAGTAGTACTCTTTGAATATCTTCACGTACTTAATTCGTGTCTTAAAATCCCATATCATTCGTGAAATGCTATCAACCGCCGACGGGGATATATTTGCAACACTAAATCTCTCTTTATATTTGTGTTACGAACAATGATTCATGACGATTGTGTTTACCATTTATGGCAAAAATACGATGTCATAGACACGTATGGATCGATAATTTATTGATTATCCATGACTCGTAGATCTTTCTATTCTCCCTTTCTCTCTCCTTTTTTCTCTCGCTCGTTTTCTTACACGCGAGCGAGGTTCTTTTGCGGTGCCCGATTCGGATGCATTGCGACATCATACCACTGACGATCTTCTAGAAACTTTGCCAGAGGTATGGTTTAATTCACCGCGATTTCCCTGTCGACATCCGTGGAAACTTAGTTTAATCTCTATTTTCGCAACACTGTTTATCCACTGCGAGAAAAACCGGCCGCGAGATTTTCGGTCGACAGCACGAAGTCAATAAGTATCGTGTGTCGCGAGATGTGGAAAGAGTAATTTCTCTTGAAATTATTGAGAAAAAGAGAATAATAAAAGCGAGAGTAGTTAATGATATCTTGTAGCAAGAATAAAGTTACCTAAACGCGATAATTTTATATATAATTATTATAGCAAAACGGAAATAACACATTTTCTTCTTTATTTTCAATACATTTAATAAATTTTTTTATACAAAAAAAGAAAAAATAACGTAAATAAATTTTGTGCAAAATGAAAAGTCACTTACCCATCAATATGATCAGATCCACTTTTCACAGGTCCGTTTGCGAATTCCGGCGGTGGATCCGGAGTATTCGGACTAAGAGGGCTCATGGGTCTTCTAGAATTCTCGCCAAGAATGTCCTCGAAATCTACGACGGGCGCTACACCTCGCACAGACGCCTTCCTCACTAACGAAGGCGATGACAATTTCTGATGCTTTATCATGTCGGTAGTAGCACCATATGAGAACGGTTGGCTGGTCTGCCTGGCGTGATATGGGATGTCCTCGTCGATGAAATCGATGTTACCAGGCGGCGAGAAAGAATCCGTCTGTTTCCTATAGGAGTCGGAAGATTCAGATATTTTCCGATCTGGAGACATGCGATACTCGAAATCACGATGCTCGATGCTCTTTGATGAATCTCTGTACTCGTTCTTCAGAGTGCTGTAACTGCTGCTTGAATTGTAGGGTGGACTTGATTCTTTACCGGCTCCGTAACTCCTGTAGGAATCTTTCAATGTGGAATAAGTAGACGTTGGATGGCTGCTGCCGTGACTGCTATAGCTGCGTGATTCCTGAATGTACATCTTCTCACTTCGGTCGCGATTGTAATCATCTGTCGGAGGATCTGGCATAGACTGTAAAAACAATTTCATAACATGATTTGTGAATAGCGAATATTTTTTTTAATTCTTTCACTTTTTTTATATAATTAACTTTTTTTATACAATATTTTTTTTTTATTTATGAAATATATTAAAGATCTCTATGAATGCTTAATTATTGAGCTAGATAAACATGCAATGTTTTAAAGTAATTCTCATTAATCTATCATAATTGTGTGAAGACTTATGATAATATTTAAATAAAAAGTTGCTCAAATTAGCTCCGCTTCCTAACTATTTATCATAATTGGCCAACTTTATTACCTCGACTGTAAGCATCATATCATGAAGAAGTTTGTCGAGATCTCCGTGAGCTTGATTTTCTGGCTCGGGTTCTGGTGGGCTGGGTCTCTGCGGTGGTGCACTACTTATGCCACTATCCATAGAAACCGTCAATGGCGAGCCACGAGCACCTCCTGCAGCGCTCTGATGCACCACGGCGTACAAGGACCCATCTATAGGACCGCAGGTATAACCCAAGCCACGAGGTGAAGTCTGAACCGAAGAACTCGAAGGAGGTGGTGGTGACAGTGGAGTCTCACGACCTTCTAGACAAAAACATGCGTCCAAATATAATAAAATAATAAGAACAATTCAACAAAAAATATTTAATAATTTTATAATAATAATTTTAGCATATGTTTCAAGTTTTACTGACTATATCTCTATCTATATTTTAAAATTCCACTTATTTTATTTCGTTAACTGTTTATATTATTTTAATTATATTATTAGAGCAGAATTGATAATTATTATTTATTTAGATTATCTTTTCTTAAATTAATTAATCCGACATCAAATATAATTACATAAATAAAACATTTTAGATTTGAATGATAATGAGAGCCATTCACGTAAAGCTAACAAGTTGAGCCATAAATAAATTCTTTCAGATTCTTCTTACGTCGGAATATCTGCGGGCGCCCGCGTGAACTATAATTCCGCGAGCTGGAAATCGAGGAGCTTGTTAGAGGAACAACCGCCAGCCATAAATTGTTGACTGACGCTGCTCTTGAGTACGAATTGTAACAAGGGAGTTAAGAATCGTCTATTACATACATTCCTCTCTCTACTAACGCATCATGTCATTTAGAGCTAATTGCTCGATCAATTTTTGCAATATATTACGAGTATTTATAATTGAAGTCAAAATGAATTTATAACTTGATCATTCATTATAAGTTCTTCTTCATTAATTTTTTCTGAGATAGTTAGAAACCTATTTTAGAAACATGAAATTCGTATTACAAAGAAATACATTAACATTTGTTGATCCTAATATTAATGTAAATGTTTTTGATACAAAATCCGTTACAATTAAATTAACGCAAATATTTCCGTAACGAGTCTCTTACAAAGTCGATGTCGCAATTTAAGCGACCATAGTTGACGCAACACTTGTTACAAGCATAATTCTTGGAAACTCATTGCACTGTTGTGTTACTAAGCTCGCAACAAGGGTTTCTAGAAGTCTACGACCAACCATGATTATTTGATCCCCGACGGCATCTTGGCCGCTTTCTTAGGGCGCAACCTCAACGGAGTCTTTTTTCCCGATGACCTCGTGACACAAGGCTAACCTACCGCAAGAATTACGTCATCTAAAGCACGCGAATTACTCAACCATAATATAATACGGATCAATGATGAATTGACGTAACTTGACTAAAAGAGAAAGGATGAGAAGTTGAAAATTATAAAACAACTTTTTAGCTGTACCATAAATAATTTTACGATTAGCATTGTACAGCATTGTGTAAGAAATTGAGTAAAGATACAGGAAGAAATAAATTAGATATCTTCATGATATTATTCTCAATCGTCAATAAACAAAATCAGAAATTATTTATCATAAGATAATATTATAAATTAATATTAAGAATTAATTTTGTAATCATTAAGAAAGTAAAAATAAATAATAAAAATTAAAAAACAAAATTTAAATATAATCTTTAGATTTTAAATATTCTCGTTAAAAATTCTTTTATATATTGATAAAATCTCATCAGCTAGCTATTAATAGCGTGAAAGCTTCTGGGAATAGAATTTACACTGATTAAAAAGAAATGCAAGAAGAAAACGAGAGAATGGTAAGAAGTTTATTTAGCTCTCAAGCAAACTTGGGTAACAATGTTGAGGATAAAAAGGCGCGAACGCAACTGTAGGTACAAGTAACAAAATCGAGAACACGCTGGAGAACCAGGGTCAAACTTTCAGCAAACGATAAAACTTTATTTGAATTTACTCGTAAAGAATGGGAGAAGTACAATGAGAAAATGAAAGTTTAGATACGCGACATTATGAACTTTTCCAAGTGTTAGACATTCAATTATTACGATATATCAATAATTCATTTCGAATTCCGAAAATAACAATAATAGCGACTTGATAAAACAGCGCATCTCTCTCTCTCTCTCTCTCTCTCTCTCTCTCTCTCTCTCTGTTCTTCCTTTTTTCCTCTCCCTCTCTCTCTCTGTCTCTCTCTCTCTCTCTCTCTCTCTCTCTCTCTTTCTCTTTCTGTCTATCGTATACAATAATCATTACTTCTACTGCATCTATATTTTATATCTCATACATAAAAACAGAAATCGTTTTCAAGAAGAACAAATAGATTCGCTTTGGACAAGTGAAGGATTAACAACACGACAAGAGAGTGGTGCCGACAAGAAACTTGTTCCCAAGAGATCCGTATATTCGATGCGAATCAACCAAGACCCCAGCTGATGTTTCCTACGGCGCTATTCGGCCTGCTCTTCACGTCCGGTTTGCACAGCTGAGATCTTCGCTACCTCGTATCATGCACCGACAATCGTTACGTCAAAGAGCGTAATGCGAAAAAGAATTCGCGAGAAACATGCAATGAAACACGTGCAGCGATAACCTCGAAATGAGGATTGGGGTAGTCTTTGGTATAATGGAGGAGCACTTAATGGGTCTCTTCATCGAGATGCGAATTCAGTAGCACCGCGTGTGTGTGTAGAATTTCATGGCGGCTTATTCTACGTCCTACAACTAGATCTCCATTTTTTTTCTCTTTCTTTCTTCATCCCCTTCTCTTTGGAATCGTCCGCTTTGATCTCATATTTCGTGCGCCGGAGCGCAAGTGTGCAATGCACTTGAGGCCTTAGGCCCCTGTCACACTCTACGTCTTTCTCCGATGACAGCGTTCTACCCTGACGCAATCGCGCCAATTACAGTCGCTGGATTATCGACTTAATTGGAATTCTCGGAGTGTAATTATTTGTCCACGTGGAGCGATATGTATACGTACGATTGGGTCATAACATAATTCGATCGCCGGAATGTTTGTTTCTTTCACCCCGCCGGCTGAAACGATCATTTTGGCATTTACGAAACATCATGTTATTTGTAAACTGTATCCCATATTTTATAAGACACAATTGATATCTGTGCAATTTAGTTTGTATTTCTTTCACTTTAGAATTAAAAAAATAAAGATATTATTAACGTTGCAAAGTGTATTATCAATTAGTGTAAACAATTAGTGTAAACTTGAGATAATTAAAGATTTAATTAACTAAAGTCCCGCGGTTTCCATCATTTAAACAGTTTGCTATATTTTGTGTTTTAACTCTTCACTATTTTCTTAATAAAGATGTTTCGATCATTACTAATGCCGCCTAAAGAGGGCAAAAACTTTACTGCATATTCACGATTTAACCGGAAAAAATGTAAACGACCGTAACGAATTACGAATCGCTATTATCTTTTTACAAGTTTGCTAAGATAATGATGTGATTGAGATCGGCGATCGGGCTAATTTAGAATCATGATGGAGATTCCACGAAGGACACCGAGTATAATCTCTTAGGGCCGTGCGGGAAGTCTCATCTGAATTCAATCGTCGTCGCTATCTCGTTGACACATCGCGACTGGCATAAATCATTTTTATTTGAGTGACTCTCGTTTATTATACTTGAATCAGCCCGCGCGTTCTGTCAATGACAACTAATCTACCACCTCGGGCAGATAAAATGCATTTAACATCTACTTACAACATACACGCGTAAACAAGATCGCATTACAAATAATGTAATCTGATATAAATTTGTGAATAAATCTCTACGTATTCTTTGTTTGTTTTTCAAATAATTAATGTAATAAAATATTTTAATATATTTTACATATATAAGAACTAGTTAACAAATATATTTTAGATTCCATTATTTTTTTACCCATCCAAATTATCTCGCTTTCATAATAATATTATGTGTTAAAATAATAATATTATGTGTTAAAAATATAACGATATATGCAGTACTAATCGAATTTTAATAATCATAAAAGAGATAGTTACCTTTGAAGGCTATTCAAAATTGATCTTATAATTAATTCAACGCTACATGAGCGAGAACCCATTTTCGCGTGTATACATGTTTAACAACGAGAATCCCATCGTTGCTTGTCGATCGAAGATTATTGCCACCGCGATATAGTCTGATATAGCCTCTTTCAAAACATGATGATGAAATTGGAATATGGGGTACACAACCGTTGATGATATTATATGAGGATTTAATAGTGTTGATGAAGACACGATGAAAGCGTGAAATGTGCCAGCATGCAATCCATAACTTTTGCCGTTTTTTTACGTTAATAACGTAAATGAGAGAATTCGTGATATTTTGTAATTATTGTAAATAAAAACTCTTATAATATTTTCAACAACACGCCTATAACTTTTCTTAAATGGTAATTCGAAATTGCCTCATGCATCAGCGTTGTAATACCACCTACTTCGAGACCACCTTGGGCTTCTTCGAAGAATGAAGTCAGCCGGAAGGCAAGACCGATGATTTTTGGCTGATTTAATGAAGCAAGTTCTCATCGACGCCACGTGAAAGTAATTGCCCCAAGGAAAGACGCAACGATCGCGTCAACGCATTGCGTGCTCCAAAACATTTACCGGACGCCCGTCTGCAGGTTTGAGATTGACGCATCGTTTGGATAAAAGTGAGACGAGTAGCCATTAACGTTCGATCGTATTAAATTATCGGAGGCATCTCATAACCCAGACATGCAACGATCGACCTAAGTATGATTAAATTGCCATTGAAGCGGCGCGCAAGGATACTAAAAATAGTAATGCGACAGAGAGAGAAAGAGAGAGAGAGAGAGAGAGAGAGAGAGAGAGAGAGAGAGAGAGAGAAATGCTAATAGCGCAATATTCTGTACACATAAAAAAGTACATGACAGCTGTAACAATGCGATTACGCGCCGTAACGTAAGTGGACATTTAACTATTCTTAAAGATATATTAATTAACCCTGAGGCTTCCTGCTCGCGGGGAGTCGAGTTGACTCTAAACCGCAAGTAGTCCATATCTCGAAAACGCGAGCGGTTTTCTCGTTTATCACACCCTAGAGCGTTGCGGATATAAATTCTGTAGCATTGCGGCGCAATCTGGAAAGCGTGTGCACTCTAGCCGCATACAACTGCAACTGCATGCCGCGATCGCTGATCATGCGGCGGATAGCGGCGTCGCCGTCGGCCGCACGTTCCAGCGCGAATCGGTCGGGGATTTATC